CCAGCAGTATCGTAACTATATCCCTTCTGAATAAGTCTGTTCAAAGGTTTGGTTAGCTTTTGAGGTGAATGACGACAATTTCCTGCTTTGTATAGAATATTACCATAAAAGATTGGATTGAAATACCTGAACGTATAAGATGTCTGCATGTCTATTTCACTGATGAAGATGGATATATTCCAATTGTTGTTATCAAAATCTAGTCCTTTTTTCATCGAGACAGACATATCGCCGATACTTTATTTCTATGAGCAACACGACGGGTGTCACATGTAGAGAACGATCTGGTCACCCTTCTGGAGCACCCGAGATCACCCCCGGTTTAAAGTGGGGTTTGATTTGTTCTGTCTTTAGTTGCCTATGATATCAGTCATTGTATTGAATCTAAACTGGACGAAATAAATACTAGAAAATATCTTGTCAGTAAAAAGTAAAATAACTAAAAAAAAAACTCCAAGGAAATGTACATCATGTGAATGGAAAACAACTGCCATATTCCTGACTTGGTACAGGCATTTCGTTATGCAGAAAATGATCGATTAAACATGGTTTTAAAGCTAGCTTAACCTCTCATTTGTAGGACAGTCGCATTGAATTCCATTATAATGACAACAACGTGTGAGCAAAGCGAACATACATAATAGGTAAAATACACAGTAAGATAGAGTGTGTACATATATACCAACGCTGGTCCCTTACCAAATCCTTGCCATTAAAACTTAATCTGTTGATATACAACAGTCTTGTCATGTTTTTGTGAAAAGTTTTTGATACTTAAAGAGACAAGTAGGCTCAATAACGGGCTTCTCAATTAGTCAACGCCTTGCCTTACAGTATGGGCCAGACAACATGAGTTTCTGCAGTGACTGTTAAGTTTATGCTCTGTTGTTGTAATTTGTTTTCTTGCGGTCAGGATGGTGGTATGAACAGATCAAAGACATTTATTCAACATTCATAGATCACAAAAATATGTTATTTAGACAATAAGAAGATTTAGTATAATTGCCAATGAGACAAATATGAATCAGAGATCAAATCACGATGTTTATATAAGCCACTATAGATACACAGTGTAACTGTCATCACCTTCAACAATAAGCAAACCATTTATCATATACTTGAATGGTTCCGACATGACAAAATAAAAAAAAAAACAACTTTAAACTAAAATACCAATAGCCTGAATAAATAAAGACAACAGTAGTATACCGCTGTTCGCAATTCATAAATTGATTAAGAAAAAAAATTCGGGTTACAAACTAAAACTGAGGAAAACACATCAAATATAAGAGAGAACTACGACACAACAGAAACACAACATTAAAATGGAACACACACAGAAACAAACTATAATATAACAATGGGCATTTTCCTGACTTGGTACAGGACATTTTAAGAAAAAAATGGTGGGTTGAACCTGGTTTTGTGGCTAGCTAAACCTCCCGCTTTTATGGCAATGTTAATTATAACATTAAAATGACAACATTACATGACAGGAATACAATACAAATAAATGGGAGAACATATAGGAAAGAGAAATATAAGAATAATAGCTAACAAAAGAAACCAGGTTTAAAATTTAATACGCAAGACGCGCGTTTCGTCCACACAAGACTAACCAGTGACGCTCAGATAAAAAAAGTACAAAAGCCAAAACAAGTACAAAGTTGAAGAGCATTGAGGACCAAAAGTTCCAAAAAGTTGTGCCAAATACGGGTAAGGTTATATGTCTGGGATAAGAAAATCCTAAATATTTAGAATAGATCATACTTTTGCAAACAGTAAATTCATAAAAATGACTATATAATACATATACATGATAACACCGAAATGGTGACTAACTACAGAATAAAAACGGATACATAAAACAACATAAACCAGCACATAAAAATTCATAGCCGAGTTAGCCTAAAAGATCAACGCTTAAAAAAGGTGACGTCACATTTGAATTTCTGAAATTTCCCCAAAATAGATAGTATTAGGATCGAATTCAAGATTTGGTTTATAATACTCATATAACATTTATCAATAACAATGAAAATTACAATACTAATTAATATAAAATGTGGTAGTAATAAGATAATTAATAGTATCATCTAGCTATGTCGGTATTTCTTCTAAATCAAACTGTAAACCAAATATATCGTATAAATTTAGTTGACACAAACTGAAATCTAATTAACGAACTGGATGATTAATAATCTTTACCATAACACACGAATACAACAGAAAAAAAAATAAAATTTACAACAACAAACGATAAGACATTTGACAAAATTCGATGAGAATAACAAATATAACATCAAAACTAAATACATGAATTTTGGATAGAAAGGTACCGTGACACGTCTTATAGCAATGCGACTTCACACTCAGCAAAACAGTCACAATCGGGAATAAGTCGCGTTCGGTAATTAAAAGACCAGACGACGTAATGTCAAACCACAATCTAACACGTGGTAAAAATGTCCTTAGCTAGTTTGGACAAAGACACATCGTATGGATCGACCAATTCGTGATGGTGTCCGTAAAATTTACGGAGTGTCATTTTTAATCTGTCCTCCTCAAAACTTTGTTGGAGCAGTTTCTGCGTTAGGAGCACACTCCTGTATATGAAGTCCGTATAGTGTGAACATGCACGAGCATAACGTATCAACTGAGATATGTAAACACCATACGAAGGGGCAGAGGGTATGTTACTGCTAAGAAATGGGAAATTGAAAATTGGGAAGTTGAAATCGTCCCGTTTATCATAGATTTGCGTGTGAAGTCGTCCATCTGTGTCAATATTGAGGAAAAGATCAAGGTATGGAGCAGTCCTTCTAGTATCAGTAGTATCCTTAATTTCAAGTTCACTGGGATATATGAGATGTAAGTATTGGCTAAAATATGGGTTATTCAATGATAGGACATCATCAATTTATCGGAAAGTAAAATTAAAGAATTTCGCAAGGTGCTTTTTTTTTTGTCTTTGGGAAGGTTCTGAATAAATTCTGCTTCATACGAGTACAAAAACAAATCGGCCAGTAGGGGTGCACAATTAGTACCCATTGGAATACCGACTGTCTGTTGAAATATAAATCCTCCAAACATTTTGATAATATCATCTTCAGTATATTTTCTGGTAGATTCAGTGTGGTTCTTCACAAAATATGAATTATTGTAACCCAAAACAAGAAATTTGTATCTACGATTCCCATTTTTATAGAAAAAGCTCTGTTTAATGAGATGGTGAAGTATAGTATTCAGTACTTAAGAAAGATGTAGTTTTGTGAAGTTTTGGTATCCAGTATAATGATGGTAAATTTTCTTCGTTTTCTTTGATGTTGATACCAAAAGAAAGAAGGACAGATTTGTGATTTTGTAAAATTTCGTCCTTGGTAAATGATGTTAGAGAATATGTAGGAATACCAGAAGTTCTATTTATTCCAAGCTCCGTTGTGAGACATTGCAAATAATGGTTTTTACATATGAAGACAATATTATTAGATGCTTTATCTGCTGGAACAACGACATATTTGTCATGCAAAGAGGATAAAGCATCCACAACATCCGGATTCTTGAAAGGGTTAGTAACTCTTGTGCTCATAGTACATCGTAGTTTTTGAATGCGCTTCTGAATGCATGATCGAATAGCTTTGATCCATTCAGACAAAGTGTCCAGTTCTAGTTTGTCTGGTTCGCGCTTTACCCATTTTCTTGCATAGTCCTCAACTGAGTTATGTTAAAACAAAACAGGATTTGTTTTCCTATTCATTCTTCTTGTGTTTTGTCTGCTTCTTACCACTGTTACGTATGATACAGATTTAAATGAACTAAGTATGCACTGGCCCACTATATATAGTCTTTTGTTGTGCAACGCAATTCTATTGTCCGTGAATTTGTTCTGCTCAATTCATAGTTATTAGTATAATCTTCTGTTATTTTTCGTTTTCCCTTTGTCATTTTTCTTTTTGATCATGTTATCTATTTTTATGAATGTTATTGTTTTAGATTGTCAGCTTTGTATCAACTTTTCCCTTTGCATATAAGGATGTTAAATATATATTTATCATATTGTTGAGATGTATAATGGAAAGAATAATAGAAATAAAATTGCATATCGTACATTTCAGCCCAGAAGAAATAAAAAAAGGTATTATTGACGGTACAAAATATGTATAGGATAAAAACCTTGATACAGTTTGGATTTCCTTTTCCCTTAACGTTTTCTTCGCGACACAAAACATTCGTTTGGTGGTATTAAATGACGTGATGATCAATTTAGGTAGTACGGCAGTTTTCAAAAGATACCTATATTCCTATGATCACCCTCATTTTGTCTCATCGTTAAAGGCATCTACACATGCAACAAAGAAATGCATGTGACAAAAGCCATTAAAATGGTGTTTCGAAGACCGAGATATTTATCAAACATGTCAGATTCCATGTTAAATAAAGGCAACATTCGTATACCGATGTTCGAAATTCATAAATCGATTGAGAAAAAAACAAATCCGGGTTACAAACTAAAGCTTTGTTATATTTTTGGAATACGAAATTAAAAGAAAAGATCCGGTGTGAGGACGAACATACAACTACACATTTTATATAAATAGTTTCTGTTTTACGATATTATGTTTACAAACTATTACGTTGATATTCTAAGCACGTAATTTCCAACACATATTATTGATACACAAAATGTTTTATGCATTTTTGATATGCAATACATTGATGTTGTGTACTGAATGACTCTTTCAGACTTTTATGTCATATAACACATTTACATTGTAAAATTTCCCTTTATAGTATGTGGTCGAACTATTTTATCATATAATCGTCAAATTTGCGGATTTTGATTTTTTGTATTCTAGGTATGACATTTATAAAAAATATGGAAAGTTTAACCTCGAAAATATTTGATGCATAGCTGCAGCATCAGGAAGGATTTTCCAATCATAACACTATATAACAAAATAAATCGAAACAAAATATCTCTTAAACTTTCAAGAGAAAACTGCACAGTAAAATGGTAGGTATATTTGTTCATATATTGATGATTTTGCATTTTTACACATTGCCATGGCGTTGTCAGTTTATTTTCAAATTAATTTTGACTTATGAGTTTGAATGTCCCTTTGGTATCTTACGTTTCTTTTTTACAACGTAGATGGGTTATGGTTATTCTATGTAAGTTCATTTTGACAAGATAAATAGTTTGGTACATTCTCTGATGAAGTTAAATCCAGAAAGACTTGTTACAAGTGATAAGGTTGAAAAACACCCCTAGAATTATAAGAAAATATTGTCGACTCATGTCCTCCATTTTAAAATATTTTCCATACCAGTATTTATTTGTTTACGTTTTGTCTCATGTTCTTATTTAAAAGCATCATTTTTTTTTTGACAATTTCTCAAAAAGTGCATAAACTAAAACAAAAATAATCTCATTGCGCGATCATTTCTCTTTCATTTAAATATGAACCTTAGGGCCAACTTAAAAATATATTTATTATTTTCAACTTGATTTTATTTAAATCTGTAAGTAAAATATCTTTTTTGGGTGATGATTTCCAATTTTCTCATTTGCCCAAACCTGTTTGTTTTTGTATAAAATTGATTGTTAGGTAAAATATTTCATTCACAGCATGACGTTACAGTGACATCTCAATTATTCTCAAGTATCAAATATGTATTACGTTATTCATTTACAAAATATATGAATATATGAAAATAATTTGAAGCTATTAAAGAATGTCTCTTTTTCAATTTCAGGGGCAAAATGTCCGATCGCTTGCTTTAAACATAGTTGCTTTCTTAGCGGCAAGACATTTTAACTACCTAACACTTGATGTTGACCGTCATCTGTCGTTTTTCCTATCGTAGTTCAACAGTACAATTATTTCCTTGCTAATAATAAAAACGAATGCGACTGATCGCCAGGACGTTAATGAACTTAATGAACTCAACAATAGGCAAAGGTTGGAGAAAAAAATGCATATCAGCCCTGGGCACCTGAGTCGATATTTAGTTTTTTTTTAATCTGTCTGAATTTCAATGTTTTTCATTGTTTTGTGCCTTTTTTCCTTTTTTGTGATGGTGTGTGTCTTCTAGTTATAAAAAAAAGTTGGATTTTCTTATATTGGGTCTATATTCGGCTGGAAAATTATAAATTTCTGGAGCAGTACGATCTTAATGAACGTACTGTATCAGCTACATGCATTTTTATTCAAAATGATAACTTTTCAACGATAATACATTCTGCATGATTTAACATTTAGGTTATTGAATAAGCAATTGCTATGTTAATGTCCAATATCTAGAGATAATGCGAAAGAAGGGAAAAGTATTTTAACGATACATATTTTCGATATATATCCGTTTATTTGGTTTAACTTTTTTTAAGCGTAAGTGTGAATTTTAGGAACAGCAATTGTAATATTTCACAATGAAATTCATATTTTGAATAATATAAAGATGTGGGTACTTGTTTATTATATTACACCTATGTCATGTATGTTGATCATGCGCTTGTGTGCATCTTGTGAGTTTGCGTCATCATATTATTTGAAATATTTATTAGATTAAAATTAAAATGTCACACTGAGGTTATAATTAAAAAAAATGAAGAAAACACAACTTATCTTGTTTTTTGTTTCAAGTTAGTAAAACGGTGTTTATAAATATTTTACTATCTTTTTAGGACTTAAAACTGAGTTGCTTTCTGGTAGTATTAGCTTCCTGTGCAAGTTTTACTATTGCTCAAAAACGGAAAACCACTGTAACTGGAGATTTGACTAAGGATAAAGATATTGGAACAAGGGTAGATCTTGGAATTTCCCATCAACGGGGAAACTGGGGTTTCGAAGGAACAGGCTTCGGTACCTCAAGAGGACACCGAGGAGGGAGTTTAGGAATATCACACAAACGAAAAAACTTGGAATTTGGAGGATCAGTTTTCGGTGATAATCGGGGAAATCGAGGTGCAAAATTAGGCTTCAAATGGAAGTTTGGAAAAAGATCTGCGGCATGGGTATATATATTTTTCTTTTAATTTTTTACCTATATTTTCTTATAATCTTGGTAATTGGGCCCTAAATGAGGAGTGTTTGTTTAACTAGCATTTTGTTTTTAATACTCCAAAATACAACAAACAAACAAAAAAACATACAAAAACCTCAAATTTCAAAGTAGAATTGCGTCCATCCGTCAATAAAAGAAAACATCAAAGTAATAAAAATACTTCGCAATCCACTTAAAATATTACTGTTTATGACATTTTTGTCGTGAAGCATTTATTTTCAGGAAATTTGCGGTAGCCATATTTTCTTCAAAAAAGATACGCTTTAGTATAAATGCAAGTGACAGATAAACCCTTCAGATTCACTTAGCTCGGGTTAATACATTTACTTGTATGCTTACCTGAGATATGTTCATATGAACTTGTATAACATCACTAGTGACAAGTACTAAAAACCGATTCAGGATAAAAGGAAAAAAAAGGCAACAGTAGTTTACCGATGTTCAAATCTCATAAATTGTTAAAGAAGACGAATTAAGTTTACAAACAAAAATTGAGGGAATGGTGAACACTCAAAAAGGAGCAAGATCGAATTTGTCGACAGAGTGAGCGTCTCTTACTATGTATGCCTTAGATAAACATATATGCATATTGCTTTTATTATGAGATAACTTGGCAAACTATTTTCCTTCTTTATTCTTAGACCGGTGAACATTTTGAAGTTCGAGTTATAGTTAACCATTGTGACTTCAATGTTTATGATATAAATGAAGACAGTGTGATCACAGTTGATGAGATTTATGAATTGTTTCCTCAAAGGAATGACGCACATAAATTGTTCAAGGCGCTTGATTCTACATCAGGTTAGTATAATTCTACTGTAATTTTGTAGGGGTAGTTTCTTTTTATTTATTTCTTTTTTTTGTCAACATCATTATCTAAGAAATTTGTTTTTGTATGCCATTTTTTCTGAAGTAAAAATAATTGAAAATTTTCATTTGTTTACTTTTCAAACCAAACATATTTCAATGTCATATATAGTTGTTATATTGACAAAAAAATGTAGGAAGAGGAAAACACGTGTACCATGCTGATGTCATTTTTTAGTAGACCTACATATTTTAATTGTATCTTTTTCATGTGCTACCTCTTAAGATGTTTGTTTTCCGTTCTCAAAAACAATTTCCTTTACAAAGTTGGACAATCCGAGTACATTTTTTTTATATCTGTTACATTAGAAATAGTATGTATATCTAGGTTAACATAGTTAACATGGTTAATGAGCAATGCCAGATAAATACGAGTTTAGACATATTCTCCATTTACAACATGACATGTATGACCAGAGCTGTTACCTTTGCATTTAAATATTCTAATGATTTATTGCTACGTAACAAATCATATTGTTGACGTTAAAATGATGTGAATGTATTTTATACAAAATGTAGTTATTATGGTTTTAAGAATTTTTCCTTATTTTCAGTTGATGGAAAAGTGACCATTGGTGAATTCAAATTGATGGCTCCACAAGTTATAAAAAAATGTGAATATAACAAGTATAAGTATTAATGATGGTTCTTATAAAATGTATAACAATGAATTGATAGTGACAGTGATAAAGTAGATATTAGATCAATAATTGTATACTGTATTCTCTAACCAATGACATACGTCGATCAATCAAGCATGTTATTCTTTTATATATTTATAAAATATTACACCAATACGAATAAAGTAAATTGAGAATTGTATCCTAAGATTTTTTTGTTTGTGTATATGTGTATAGGAATGGATCATTTGTTAATAAAGTTTCTACTTCATCGAACTATCAGTCATTCATTATGAGCGGTGTGTAATTTGCCCGTTCTTATGGTTGTTCTTTTATTACTGTATGTTATATTGAAATAAGGAGATGTTGTATGATTGCCAATGAGACAACTATCCACCAAAGATCAAATAATGTTAGTAATTATAGGCAACCGTACGGCCTTCAACAATGACAAGAATGAGACAAACCTATACAATGGATGTCAAGTTGGTTCAATATTTAAAAAAAAATGAATGTTGAATGTTGAATGTTGAATATTGAACCAACTTGACATCCGTACCTATACAGTATAGTCGGCTATCAAGGTTCCGACAAGAAAAATGTGAAACAATCGGGAAACCTAACGGTCTAATTTATAACAAAATTAATTTACAAAAACAAATACGACAGACATGAACCAACGACAACCACTGGACTGCAGTCTTCTGACTTGGGACAGACACATAAAGAATATGGCGGGACTACACATGTTTGTGAGCTTTCAACCCTCCCCCTAACCTGAGAGGACTTATTTCTATTTTTTGTTTTAACGAGCTCATGGGATCCTCGTGTGTTGTTGTATCGACACACAACTCAAAATAATGAAGGCAGAAATTTCATTCGGTGATTTAAAAGTTCTTAGAACAGAATGTAGAATAGAGTATTGTCAGATCTTTGTAAGGGAAGCTTTGACACAGGATCTGTATCATAATCAGACATGGTATCTCCTCAGACAATGTTGATGCCTATAATAGTTTACGGTCTTTTATACAAATTATATGTATATGTGTACAACTTAAAAAACAGTGTGATTGTGTCTTTGTTTTATGTACAGTTAAGGTGATAGTATTATTGTATATTGATAATTATAATTTTAATTCAGTGAAAATGAGTGGCTTATTACATAAGAACAAAGGTTTTGTTTACACCTTTGGTACAAATTAGTTGTTCAAATCAATAAAGTAAATGATTTATTATAACACTTTATATTGGATTGCATTCACTTTCATCCATGATCAACAGCCTGCATAAATATGCTGACAAAACTTGTTACAAAGGGCTTGATAATAAAGATGCACCATCCTCTTGGTGGATCAACAAAATTCATATAACATTTTGAACCTAAATCTAAGCGTCTTTTTAGAATCATTTTATGCGCATGTGCACACTTAGAAAATAAATCCATGAGACGGAAGACATTTATATGACATTTAATAAGTGGTTTTGGGGTCAAAACTGCATTAATGCAAGTACATTTCGGACGCTTTTGTTCATTAGTTAATTTCAAAAGAGAGGCGAGGATACCAAAGGGACATTCAAACTTTCATAGCTTGTACACATTTTGGTAAAAGGAAAAGATTCGTCTATTTACAACTTGACAACTACAAAATGACATAAATACTTTGGTTTTTACAATATACTACTTACAAGTGAAATATATATTTCACGCACATAAATGACATCATACATTATTGAGAAACAACATGTTTTTATGCCTTTGTTATAAGAAATACATAGAAATTGTGTACTTAATGATTTTTATGATTAGGTAATGTTATACACTGACATTGTAAACATTCCTAATGTGGTAAAACGTACTATGGAAAATATCGCAATTTAAATTTAAATTATAATTTTCATTTTTTTTAAGAAATCTTTGTTATAAACAAAAATTTTGATCGCAAGTGTTTATTTCTAAGAACAGACCAAGTATGAACTTTTAAATATCAACAATATATAAATAGACCTATTCGCGTGAATATATATATATATTTGAAATTTATAGTTGAAAAGGCCCGCCAACATGGTAGGTATTTTTTCATTTCTTTATAATTTTTACCTGTTATAATCAAAAATAAATATCTTTTTTTATCTGTTTCGTTTTGTTGCTGTCTCATTTACGCATACATTGCATCACCCTTTATTCATATAGAACTTTTTTTTAAAAACTGTTTGTAGTCATTATCTTGTCCTCCATTCCTTGTTGATGACATGACTAATAGTCTATTTGACGCTGCACTTATAGATCCTCCCTTTAAAAGAGAGGTGAAGGATACCAAAGGGACATTCAAACGTCGAACAATAAACTGACAACACCATGGCTAAAAAAGAAAAGACAAACAGACAAACAACATAGAAAACCTTAAAAGATTGAGACAAACGAACCCCAACAAGAACTGGGAGTGATCCCAGGTGCTCCCAGGTGCTCCGGAAGGGTAAGCAGATCCTGCTCCACATGTGGCATGGCAAAAAAAGACAAACAAAAAACAAAAAAGAAAAAAAACAGTATACAAAACACAGGATTGAGAATTAAAAACTGAATAGCATAAACCCCGCCAAAAACTGGGGGTAATCTTAAGTGTTATGGAAGGGTAAGCAGAACCTGCTACACATTCCATTACAATACGCTTTAATTCATTTTACTTTTTGCTTTTGTTGTAAAAATTGTTCGAGGTTTATTTTCCAGTTTGAGTGAAATTTTGAATTGCCCAACTACTTATTTTAGCAGAAAAGAGGTCATTTTTTCCGATTTAAAAAAAGAACCGTGCGAACATCACTTTTATCATTTTAAAATGTCTGCTTCATAGCTTGATTATTTCCTCGATATGGCTGTTGTTTTTTACTTGTTCCGTTGATAGCGTTTGATTATGTCCGTTGTTATGACCCCCTTATATATCTTTCGGTTCTTATACATCCTTGATTTTTCGGCTTTGAGCGTTATTCCTAAAACCTTTGGACCCATTATAAGTTGTTGTTTATGAAATGTTTGACCCGATAAACATGATAATATGTATATATTTATAAAAATCATATCTAATTCGACAAACAAGTTGTTGTGACAAATGTTATAACACTGTCAGAATGATTTACCACAGCAAATACAGATACACTTATATCTCCAAGAAAATAATGATGATTATAATTCATCATTGTTAAGCTTTCAACATCAATGGCATCATTGTCTCCTGTCGCAAACAGTATCCTGTCTAAATGATTTTAACTTATGAGTTTGAATGTCCCTTTGGTGTCTCTCGCCTCTCTTTTTTCAAATACCCACTTCCCTCGTGTTACATATATTAATCGTTTCTTACAGACTTCTTAAGGAATAGTAGAGACATTGCACAAAAAATAAGAGCTGACATAAAAACGTATTATCAAATTTAAATAAATTCAACAATATTGTCAATTTATAAATACTACTTAAATTATAGACATGCATAATGACCATGAGTTTCTTTTTTCTTAACTAGCGAATGAAGGAGAGGTTACTTCGAAATTGTATAATTGAAAAAGAGATCTGAAAGTTTAAACAAGAATAAACGTACGGTGATCTTATTTTTTCAGAGCATTTTAGAAGAAGAATTGTCTAGTACTAGTCTATATAACCCATAAAAATGTGTCATTTGTTGACAGCCAATAAACAAGCTATAATGACCTATCGATTATAATATTTTTGAACATATTACAATAAAAAATCATTGACAAAGTATAAAAAACAGCCCTAGGCCATCAATGGGTTTAAATAAATTAAACTTGTTTTGTGAGGTCTCAACCCTCCCCCTTTACATCTAGCTAATGTGGAATAAACATACACACAGCAAAATTCAGTTCAAATAAGTCCGAGTCGGATGTTATAATAGGTTGGTAACAGACGAAACCAAGAAAATTGAGAACAATAAACATAAATTAACAAAGGATTAATAGCAGTTAATGAAGCATAACCGCTGTTTGTTCGATAAAGTAGAAACTTTATTAATAATCAATAGAACATAAACATAAACACATACACAAACAAATTAAATGCTAGGATGAAATTCTCTATTTTACTGGAATTGGTATTGGTAAATAAAAAGCAATATATAGAAAAAAAGGAAAGCTTGATTTTTTTACGTAATAACTGTATGTTATTTATTATAAAATAATTGATCTGGTATCTTCTTGTACATCGACCATTTCATAGTTTTCTATTTAGTAAAACCATTATTATCATGTATACTTGTTATGTCTACATTTCTTTATAACTTGAGGAGCCATGAACTTAAATTCTTCAATGGTAACCTTTCCATCAGCTGAAAAATAGGAAATATTCTCAAAATCTATTTTATGTACTTTCGTTTCTCGGTTTAATCTGGTACTGCGATAACTATATTTAGTATATTTATTAAGTTCTATTGTTATTTATCAAAACATGTCCTCGGATTGCAATACTTTGTAATGGTTAATATCTTTTTGAGATGTCTTATGCAATACAGAGCGCTTCGGACGCATGAAATTTATAACGTGTTGTTTTCTTTGTTTGCAGCACTGAGTCGATACCTCTGCTAGTGGATTATCAGTCCCCGAGGGTATCATCAGCTCAGTAGTACTGACATGATTTATAACAAACTTTCTAAAATTGCCCGTTTATAAGATTTGAAATTAGAAAAAGCCAAGGTTTCAACTCCCTCAGGCAAAGTTAGCCTTAAATGGAATTGGCTAATTTTTAGGTCCTTTTTGGTTTATAGCTCTTCAACGTTTTCGGTCCTTATACATCCTTGTCTTTCAAAATATTCGGCTTTGAGCGTTCCTGATGTAGGTAAACCCAGAAAAGCGCTTCGGACGCATTAAATTTATAACGTTTTGTTTTCATTTTTTATTCGGTAGAACGTAAAACACTCAGTCTGTCGGTGAAGTACCCAAACGATATCAACAGCGTACCACGTTTCCTCTATAACTGTTTATCGGCGCAAAGCGTTTTGTTTGAAAAGTGAAACATTTCAAATTTTAACTTTTTTATACTATTCAACAAATGGCCTACACAAATTATTTGTTTCGATAATAATGTTTAAAATATGACAGGAGAAGCAACGAAACACAAAGAAACAACACCCTTACAAGATAATAACTATACTAACCTGATGTAGAATCAAGCGCTTTGAACAATTTGTGTGCATCAACTCTTTCAGGAAATAATTCATAAATCTCATCGATAGTGATCACACTGTCTTCATTTATATCATAAACATTGAAGTCACAAT